ACCCTATCTCAAAAAAAAGGCGGGGGCGGGGGCGGGGCGGGGTCTCTAAAGGATCGCGTTTCCAGGATTGGGGGACTGATTTCTGGACTTAATTGTATGTGGAATGAGCCCTTCTTGACCCCACCCAACCTCAGTTTTTTTTTCTTAGCTCTAGAGTAAAACAACAGGAAAAAAGATCTCCCAGAATCTGCTTCCAGACTCCCTCACTTGGACAGAAGCTAGAGGAAGCCTAGTACTGGGGAAAGAGAACCCAGGCTTATTCCCTTTCCACTGTCCCAGAAGCCGTCCCGTCCCTCTGTCCTGTACACATTCGACAACGTTCTCTCCAACTAAAGATGTTGGAAAGGACCCCGGGGACATTCTGCCAGAATTTCCCCCTCTTGGACTGACTTTTTTGTGTAGATTAACTTTCTCTTCACCCTGTTCTCCTCATAAATTCTAAATTATTTTCTTCCACTCCTAACTGAATACGGGAGGAGAAAGGGAATTTGGTTTTCAAGATTTGTTCTTCTAGTATCTAATTAAGAAGAGAAAGTGAAACATAAAGCCAGAGAGCTGAAAATAGCCACGAGAAAGGGCATGAGCCTGTCTATCAATACACACATGCCGAGCTCCTACCCCCGCAGAGATCGTGCTCAGCAGAGGCCTTCTGAGAAGCAGGAGAAAAAACGGGAGGCTGTCTTTTCAGATTTGTGAACAACTCCCTAAGGAGCAAGAAAATACCATGAGAAACAAGCTCAGCATTAGGCCCTGGTCGTGGATGGGGTTGTCAACGGTCTGCCTCTGTCTTTCCAGCAAAGACTGAGGAAAAGAAGTGAAAGTGTTGGCAGTTCCCAAGCCAGGGAAAACCACAAGAAGTAAATTAGTTTGTGGGCTACAAGCCACTTCCCAGGAACCCCATCCCAGTTAGTGATCATTTTGGTTGGTTGTCTTTTTTTAAGAGAGAGAGAGAGTTAATAGAGTGAGAGAGAGATAAGCTGCCATCTGTCAGAAGTGATTTTTTTTTTTTTCCGGCAGGAACAAGAGGTTAACCAGAGATAATGGTTCCTGTTGGCCAAGATCTGTCTTCTCCCCACACTCCCTCCAGAGAAGCTAGTGGTGGCACCTCCAGAGCTGTGCCAGCCAATATAGAGCTGTGCCAGCCAATACAGTCTCCACGAGCCACCTGTGGCTCTTGAACACTTGAAATGTGGCTGTAGGTGTTAAATGTGCAGCAAATATAAAATAAACACTGGATTTTGAAGGCTTGATATGAAAAAAATCTCACTGATAACATGTAATTGATTTACGTGTTGAAATAGTATTTTGGATATATCAGATTAAACAACATTTATTATTAAAAGTGATTTCACTTGTTTCTTTTTGCTTTTATGTATGGCTACTAGAAATTTTTAAGCCATATATGTGGCTTGTATTATATTAGACAATGCCAGAGCCTGGACCAGCAAACCTACCCACACAGACACACACAGGCATGCACAGTGTTCTCTACCTCCCCACATCCAAGTAGAAAATTGATATCCTCCCTCTGCCAATCTATGATCTTCTTGTGCTTTGATAATCAATCAAGCCTTTCTTCACTGATCACATTCTATGGCCCAAAATGCCCGTGTATGAGAGGGGCTACTTTTTGTTTTTTTAACAGCGTCTCAGTACTCACTATTATGTATTGTGTTGGCCTGTCTTACTTTCCACTTGAGGTGGAAGTCACTTGAGGGCAGGAAGGTTATAGAATCAATTCTTTGTGCGCTCTCATAAATTCTGCTGCAGATGTCTTCACTCTGTATTCAACTTGTGAAACCAGACAGTATTTGACGACTAGTCACTCTGCCCACACATACCACCACATTTTGCCCTTTCTGAAAAATATCCCAGTTATCCGGCATTTTGCATTTCCTAAGAATCTAAAGCCAGGATCAGAGCTCTCCCTTTACAAATTCAATAATCTTTTTATGTAGGGCAACCTAGCTTTGACTGCAGAGGAATGAAAAAGAGGGTGAGCTTCGGGGTGGTGGCAGAGAAAGTATCCTGGAAGCCTCTGTCCCTCCTAGAGAGAAACTTTCCGGAATAGGCGCTGGAGTCTCAGGGCTCTTCTGTCTTTACCTCACAGGACTCCCATCCCATGGCCTGAAAGAACACCAGAAATGTGTTCACAGTCACTCAGCAAGGAGAGTCTGATGAGAGGCACCACTCTTCTCCCCTAAACCCTGCCTCTTCTCTCAGACTGACACCTTTAATCTAAGGACCACAAACTAAGCAAAGGACTGGAGGCATTTTGCTGCCTGCAGCTGTCTCCCCAATTACTGACTGGGAGGAGGAGTGAGGGGAGTTCATTTTAATTCATTTTTGTGAATGTTTAATATTTCAATTAATATGATTAGCCCCGAGCCTGAATGAGCAGCAGGGCGGCAGATCTGCTGAGAAGACATAGAGTAATGAGATCAACAGGGCCATAGGGTCTTCCCCTTCTCCATCCTCAGAGGGCATGATCTGTTTAGCATCTCCATAAATACCAAGATCAGATTAGAAGGCAAGGAAAGGAGCAGTGGGGGTGGGGTAGGTGAGTGGAAAGTTACTTTCAAGATGTGTTTGCCCTTCTGGATTCCCTGGCTCTGCCATCACTCGCTTCTTCTGAGCACCCACCACTGAGTCCTCTAGCACCTCCCCCACTGCCACCCCATCTTAGAGGACCCTACTTGGGGGACCTGGGCATCCATGTGATGAAGTGTCATCAAGTCTACACACATACACATTCACTCAAATGCAAGCAACTGCCAGAGCGTGGCTCCAGGCCACAACAGAAAAACAGACTAAGGAAGGATGGGAGGTGGTCCACAGAATCAAGCAGTAAAAAGAAGGACTGTCTCTCATCCAGGGTTTAAATGGAGACAGAAGAGGAAGAAAGGCCAGACTTCACCACTGCTCCTATTCTCAAGAGGAATGTTTGATGTGGGAGTTAAATGCGTGGACGCAGGAGCCAGACTGCCCAGGCTCCAATCTCAGCTAGACCTCTTTCTAGCTGCGTGGCTTTAGGCAAGTTATTTCAGCTCTGTGTCTTGGTTACCTCCTCTCTATTTGGAGATAATGACAAAATCTACATCATAGGGGGGTGGTGAGGGTTTAGGAGTTAGTAAATATAAAGCACTTGGCACAAAGCCTGGGACACTGTAAGAGCCATGTAAGCACTGGCTGTTACTATTATTTTCCTTCCAGAAGAGAAGCCTGCCTGCTGTGATAGCTCAGGAATGGAGGCCCCTGGGACTCAGCTGGGACACAGTTTAGAGACACGAGTGCCCTGTGGAAACAGCAGCCCTACTCCGGGGGTGAAGAAGGGAATGACAGGAAGACAGGGTGCTCTACAAAAGCCCAGAACCCCAGGAGAGCCCCCGTTGCTGAGCACTGACGGAAAGCAAGGGCTGCCACCACTGACAAGGTCTGATGTCCACAGATAATCCCTGCACTGAGGGTGTGCTCACGCTCCCTCCAGATCGTGGAGCCTGCCAATCATCCATAGAAGTATCCACGTTCAGGGGAGCAGTGGTCCCCGAATGTGCCTCCCCTGCTCCTCTGTGCTACCTGGCTCAATTTGAGTCCCACTCAAAGAACCCAACTGAAGAAAGAAGCAAAGGAAAGAGTAATTGGGTTTCTACATCCTAAGGGGAAGCTTGACAGCTGTGATTCTTCCCACTGAAGGAATCAGGAATCCACTGTTGTCAGAGGTTCTTTGCATGAAGTGTTTGTTAAGCTCCTGCTACGCATGAGCAAGACAGGGTGCTAGACACTATGAACAGTAAGATGCTGAATTAAACGATGTCCTGGTCTTCAAGGAGCTTACAAGTGAGAGCGCCCGCCGCGCCTCCTCCGCGGCCTCCCTGCCCACGCACTTATACTCACAAACCCCCCAGAGGGAGAGAAGGGGGCGTCGGCAAATGCCAGAAAGCTATCGTTTTTCTTGGTTCCTTTTCTGGAAAATATACAGTTCTCTTTCTGCATTCATCTCATCCTGCTCTCGCCTTTCCCACGTTCCTTTCCATTTTTCCTCTCTGCATTTTTTCTTTTTCCCCCAGACTCTGCGACCTGCTTCCCTCTCCATCTACACCTCCTTCCCCTTCAGCCTGTCCAACCGTCCTATCTCATCTTCTTTCCCCTGATTTCTTTCCTTGACTCTCTACTCTCGGGGCTCCCCAGATGCCGGGCTCCCCTCTTCCCCCCCAAACCCCCATCTCCTGAGTCTTCCAGCACCGGGGACAGCTCCAGCCCCCGGAACAATGGACCCCATTTTAGGGTTCCTCTGTAAATTCTCCATCTTAGTTCTTTGCCCGACTACTGACTGGGGAGTAAGATGGGGGAAGGGTTATTATCAACAGGACCAGCTGCTCTTCTGGGGGCGGGAAAGGAGTCAGGGAGGATGGAGATAGAACGAGGGCGTGGCTCTTGCTTGGATTGTGCGTCCCTCTCCAGGGTAGAGAATTTGTATTCGACCCCTGAGACTGACATCACTGATGTCAGGGGAAAGGAGGTGGGA